CAAGCTATCCCCCTGGGTAGAGTGCTGTGGCATCACAGCTCACAGCAATCTCCCACTCCTGGGCTCAAACGAGTCTCCTGCTTCAGCCTCCCAAGTAGCTGGGACCACAGGTGCCTGCCACAATGCCCAGCTATTTTTTGGTTGCAGCTATCATTGTTGTTTTGGCAGGCCTGGGCTGGATTCGAACCCGCCACCTTAGAAGTATGTGGCTGGCGCCTTAGCCACTTGAGCCACAGGCGCCGAGCCTAATCACGTATTTCTTTAAAGCATTAGCACTTGAATATGTAACCAATATGCCAAAGATTAGTGAGATGGTTTTATTTTATTTATTTATTTTCTCAGAGACAGACTTTGTTGCCCTCAATAGAGTGCTATGGCGTCACAGCTCACAGCAGCCTCCAGCTATTGGGCTTAGGCGATTCTCTTGCCTCAGCTTCCTGAGTAGCTGAGACTACAGGTGCCCACCACAATGCCCAGCTATTTTTTTGTTGCAGTTTGGCCACGGCTGGGTTTGAACCCACCACCCTCGGTATATAGGGCTGGCACCCTACTCACTGAGCCACAGGTGCTGCCCGTGAGATGGTTTTTGCACTTCTGTGGACCAGGTCTTCAGAGTCTGCTATGCACTCTGCACTTACAACAGGTCTCGGTGTGAACCAGCTACACTCCAAGTGCTCACAGCCACAGGGCTGGCCCAGAGCCTAGTGTATGGTGCCAGGCCCTGCACTTGGGAAAGCGGTCCAGTGTCTGGCCTCAAGAGCCAGGCTGCTGGGACTCAGATCTCAGCTCTACCAACTCCCACCCGTGCAACTTTGGGAAGCCAGTTTAACAGCGTGGTGCCTCCATTTTCTCATAGGTCAAAGGATGATGGTTGTTACTTCATAGGGTGCTTGAGGAGTTGAATGATCCACAGGATGTGACTTGCACACAGCAAGCATTCTCGAGGCATGCTTGCTGCTGCTATTATTTTTTAGTAGTTGGAACCATCCCTCCTTTCTCACGTCCCTTCTTAGAATGCACCTTTGAGCTAAGAAAACAGTGATCCCTTAAGCTCTTCTTTCTTTCTGCCCCACCCACTCTCAATGGCTCTGCCAAGGCCCTGGGCAGCAGGGGGCCTAGAGGATGGCTGGGCCCTGAACTCTGAGCGTGATTCACTCAGTCACCCCCTCCCCTACCTCCGCTCCTGGACACCTAGTAGGTCCTTGGAATATAGGTGCCCTCTGAGCTGGGTCATAGAGACATGGAGGCCATGACCTTCTGCCCATGCCCACTAGCTGATCCTCCCACCATGCCCCCCAGTCACCTGCCTGTCCTCTTGCCTTGCAGATCGCCCTGTGCCACTTTTTCTTCAATGTCTCTGGAATGATGATATTTTACCCGATCCCATTCACTCGCCTGCCCATCCACCTGGCCAAAGGTCTGGGAAACATCTCGGCCAAGTACCGCTGGTTCGCCATCTTCTACCTGATCTTCTTCTTCTTCCTGATCCCGCTGTCGGTGTTCGGCCTCTCGCTGGCCGGCTGGCCGGTGCTGGTGGGCGTGGGGGTGCCCATCCTCTTCGTCCTCCTCCTGGTGGTGTGTCTCAAGCTCCTGCAGTCCCGCTGCCCCCGCATCCTGCCTAAGAAGCTCCAGAACTGGAACTTCCTGCCCCTGTGGATGCACTCGCTGAAGCCCTGGGACAGCGTCATCTCTTCAGTCACCAGTCTGTGCCAGAGGCGCTGCTGCCGTGTGTGCTGCCTGATGTGTGGCTGTGGCAGGTGCTGTCGCTGCAGCAAGTGCTGTGAGGACCTGGAGGAGGTGCAGGAGGTGCAGGG